CATTAGTAGACTTGTCAATATCAGTCAAAAGTTCGGACAATCTTCAAATGCCAAAGCTAGGTTTATTCATGTTTCGCCAAGTTTCGCCCAATATTAGATAAGCAAGCATGAGTTCGTCAATACTGGATCAAAGTTCGGCCAATCTTCAAATTCCAGGGCTAGGTACATTAGTAGACTTGTCAATATCAGTCAAAAGTTCGGTCAATCTTCAAATGCCAAAGCTGGGTTTATTCATGTTTCGCCAAGTTTCGCCCAATATTAGATAGGCAAGCATGGGTTTGTCAATACTAGATCAAAGTTCGGCCAATCTTTAAATTCCAGGGCTAGGTACATTAGTAGACTTGTCAAAATTAGTCCAAAGTTCGGCCAATCTTCAAATGCTAAAGCTAGGTACATAAACCTTTCGTCAACTTTGATCCAATAATGGGACAGCCAAGCATTGGCTTGTCAATACTGGTCCAAAGTATGGGAAATCTTCAAATGACAAGACTAGGTACATTAACCTTTCGCCAAGTTTGATCCAATACTGGACAGTCAAGTATGGGTTGGTCAATACTGGATCAGTGTTCAGTCAATGTTTGAGTGTCAAGGCCAGGTACATAAAGTCAATACTGGGTCTGGACCAGAATCGCACGATCTTGGGCCAAACTTGGATCAAGCTAGGTGCTGTCGTAATTTCCATAATATTCCATAGGTTCACCAAATTATGCATTATCGTTCGTACGATATAAAAAGAAAGCATGTTGACAAGTAAATGTAATGCTCTATGCATGTGCAGGTAAATCTGATAGAGAACTCTACGGTTTGTATCTAGGTACATATATATATACATGAAGGAATGTGTTCCTCAATTCGGCGGGTTTTGCACTGAATCGCTATTTAATTACGTTAAAGATTAAAGAGAAAGAGCACGCCGTTGAATGGAATAAAGCGGCAACGGCTTTCGGGGAACTGCAATTTCCTTCTGAATACTGGTAAACAGGGTAAACAACGAGCACCTGTTAATTCGTTTTCGGCTTCCTGCTACTACAGGACGAATTCAAGCCAGAAATGTAGGTGAATTGGTTCGAAAACAATGCGCATTTTTAATTAACACGTTTGCATTGTTTTCCGATCGGCGCCGACAGAGAGCGCTATTATCTTTGGTACGCGACGCGACGCCCGGCGTCTGTTTGCGAAAGCGGCGCGCGATTACGAGCGGAGTCGCTTTTAAATGCCTCAGTTGCCGGTAGCAATGGAATTAACGTGGAATAAAAGAATTATTTCCTTCTCTCTCGCTCTCTTCATCATCGGGACACCTTCAATGAGAATGGACAGGCCAGGAAACGGCGAACAGAATTGTCGACGGCGGCGAGCCGACGGACGTCGGCGTCGTTCGTCCGAGCTGGTGGATAATTTTCAACTTGTGTTCATCCAGTCGACTTGCATCGCCGGAAGTTTAATTGTCGTTTAAGTTTAAATTAAAATTTACCTTAATGAAGGGGGTAGGTACTGTTGAAACGTATAAAAAACGAAATTGGAATTTGTCACTAAGTAGTATTACATACCTCCCATTTTTCTATAATTTTATTCTTTGCAAAAGAACTTTCATTATATTAGATATTTCACTTTAGGAATTTGAGATATTAATAAGTGCTTTCATCAAACAATTCAATATGATTGCTTAGGACAATATCACCAAAAGCCAACTCTAGGAGTAACTAATTATAATTACGTAAGATTGTTAAAAAAATGAAGGTCCTAGGTTCATCCACTTTTAACTGAGCTAAGGTTTTTGAGATAAGTGCATTATTGAGTTGCCTTCTTGTTATTTATAATTTGAATTTTGAAAGTTTTACTAATGACTGACTAAAGTTCCTTTCCTTAGGACAACCTACATCCTTAACTATTTACGAAAAGTAATCTAATCTAGGTCTACCTCTACCCCTCCTAACTCCCGTTTCTGCCTCTAATATGTCTCTGACTGGACCTTCATGTTTGAGAAGGTGTCCCACTAACCTATCTCGCATACTTCTTATTGACTTCCAAAGAGTTCTCTGTTCTCCTATTCTTTCTAATACTTCTTCATTTCTAACCTTTTCTATCCGCAGTATCCTCATCATTCGCCTGTAACACCAGATTTCTAGCGCTTCTAAAGTTCCTTTACCTAAAGTTTATTTGTCATGAGTCCTTTTTAGAATTTTAAGGTTTGTTTAATAAATTGATACTTTGTACTATTCAGCCCTTTAGGTGTTTTAGATTAAAGTGGTTCTTATCAGAGGATATGAGTATCTAACACTTATGTGAGTTGAAGAATTCTTTAGTAAGCATCCTGGGTCTAAAATAGTGAAAGAGAATAATAATAACTGGTGATTATTTGAAGCTTTTGGAAACCCCATTAAGATGTTTGGTTGCTGGTATCGGTTACTTTATTGGTCTTCCTGTACTCGTCCAGTTTCTACATATTTCAGGACCTCATTTATTTGAATCCCTCTAATTGTCTAAAGTCCTCGTTTATCAAGTAAAGAAACTCAGCATGGAATTTTCGTGTTGCTTCCAATTTTAGTTAGGTTTTATAACATATTCAGGGACTTTTATAAATCTTTTGTAAATTATAAAATTTCATCCAATTATTTTTTTCTTTTTATATAAGAACCTCGAGCTCTCAATCGCGTAAATGCAAGGACCCCCGGCTGAGTTTTCCTAGAGCAGTTTTTTAGTTCTTCGGCAAAGTGGCGCCAGAACTTTAAGTATTATCCATTTTTTTTTGCTTAACAAATAAATAAGTAGTAGAATTTTTATTTCGTTAAATTGGTTCGTTAGATAGCATATTCTTGATGCGAAAGCAAAAAATCTATCTCGTTGGAGGAAGGAATATTTATTTGCCGTTATAATTAAAATCGAAAAAAGAAAAGTATCAAATTGTAAAGGGAAAGTCACTCCCTCCGGGCGATATTTTCTACTCGAATAGCGCGATAATATTAAATTTCTACGTGTTTGCGTTAGAGCGCGCGAGAGTTTGTCCCTTTAACTCCTTTTCCGTGATCGTTTCATTTTTACAGCTTAATTGCATCTGGGATTAAAGTTTGATAAATGACCCGTTTAATCGTCCCATTTAGAACCGCTCGTTATTTATCGTTATATTCATAACAGAAGAAATTGCGCGTTAAGAAAGACGCAATCCGTCTTTTTACGGCTATAGATAGATTACTGGCGTAAAATTTTATATATTTATTACCTACAACTAACGAAGAGCAAACAACGCAATTTTAGATTAAAATTTTATAAAAATATCTGCTTCTACATCACTCGAAAGCAATTATTGAAGTGAAACAAGAAAACAGACGGCTATCAATAGATCAGAAGGCTACTTTACTATTCTTGTCAAAATGAAGTTATAAAGATACTGAATATACCCGAGATAAAAATGTTCAGTCTTCCAGAGTCTCTGAAAGCGAGACTCGAGTCTCCGTCTCGAAAGACTCGAATCTCTGAACGAGAGACTCAAATCACTCAATAAGTAGTGTCTTGATAGACATGGTTAAAGTTTTCTAAGTTCAACATATTTCAGAGAGACTCGAGTCTCTCAATTTTTCAGTTTTATTCATTCAGTCTCTCTGTGAAAGACTCGAATCCCTGAATTAACAATCGTTCGAGTCTTCCATATAGAGACTGTGAGAGATCCATAAGAACACCTAGGCAATAACTGAGAGACTGTGAAAGACTACGAGAGACGCTGTCAGAAACGCTGAAATTCTCTGAGAGACTGGAAAGAGACTGAAAATTCTTGTCTAGGGTATATCTAGGATAATTGAACAGGATCATGGGTATTGAACAATATTAACTGGTCAATCTGTTCAAATGTTGCATAAGGGAAGTGATTTAATCATGATTAATCAATCTAGGATTATTATTGATTTATGTAATGTTATCCTATTCTTTCTAATACCTCTTCATTTCTATTCGTCTCTATCCACGGTGTCCCCATAATTCGCCGGATATACCACATTTCGAACGCTTCTAACATTTTCTTTTCCGTCGCCCCCATCGTCCATGTTTCGCACCCGTACGGTACCGCGCTTCAAACATACACGTTCCGTCCTCCATTCTGATACATATAGTCAAAAGGACATAACTTCTCTTGGGACGTTCTAGTCTAATTAGTAAGTTGAAAGAAGAAAGTAAATACCACAGTTTTATTGCGGACTATTCCAATTTTGATCATCCCAACTGTACTAGGTGATCAACGAGAATGTAAAGAAGAGATCGTGGAATTTAACAAATATCAACACAAGTTAAAGCAGTTTTAGAATGTTTGTGGGACTTTAAATTAGTTAACTTCTGTTGGAAGGCTTTGTACCCATCTAACAATGTATTTTACGTGTTGTCATTTGTAAAACGATTCACTAAAACTGATTACCTGAGCATGTCCACATCCGAATAAGGCAAAAATGAAATAAAACGTTTAATAATAAACACAAAGTGATTTAGTTTGTTTGGGACCGTAGTGGCGGTAAACAATTGAGACTGGGGATTTACCGGTGATATTACTAAATAAAATATACGACGGTGCAACATTTCAGAGCCCGAGCTGAGCTTCCCTAATAAGAGACAAGTTGACCGTCTACTGTTGGGGTAGCGGCCAGCGGGGCGGTGGTGATGATGGTAGTGTGTTGGTACGTGTACTGTAGACATATCCCAACAATATACACGTATACGTACAATGTAACGTATGTACGTACGTACGTACGTTGGTTGCTTGCTAGCCGTGCAGTTTTAATTAAACTTGCAATGGGACGGGAAATTTGTTCACGGGACACTGAAGTAGTGTGCGCTGACTGAAAACCGCGGCAGCGACTCTCGAGATTTTGCTCCATATTGCAACAGGAATAATGGATTCTGGTTTAATCTAAGTTTTACCGAAACACATATGATATATATATAGGTATATGTCATATATATATTTACAGAGGGTAGAAAATTAGAATTAAAAGAGTAAAGGGAATGTGTTTAAGACATACCTTGAATAATCTTTGGCGTCACTTGTAGAGGTGTGGGAATACTCCAACTTTTCTGCCCTGGTGTACCATCCTTGTTAATGTTAATACGCCATTAACTAGGGCGGCCATCAACAAACCAGGGTAAGAACCTAAAAAATCAGGTTTTTGAGTTTGGAATTATAGAAAATTATGTCAGTTTTTATAAAAGATCTTTTTTTGTTCTTTACAACTATTCGATTTTTCAAACAAACACAAAATATAGTCCGGACGCCCCGGAAATAGGGACATTATTATCACGGGAAACCCGAAACGGAATGTAGTTCTAACTCTAAATTAACACACATGTTGAACCAGTTTTTAGACCTACGTCCAACAAACATTTTTGAGCTATCCTGATCATTACAACTATCAAAATTGGCATAGTCTGTAATAAACTATCTGTGGGAATGGACGTATTTTATTTTTTGTTTCCACTTGGGACTATAGTCATTTGCTCAAAGGTATGCAAAAAATCATGGTTGGAATTATATATTCGTCCTTGCTTTCCTAAATTATTGAGAATATTGAACTTTCTTTAAAGTCCAATGCCGGTAATATGCTCAAATTCTGCTTGTCTGTATCTCTTTTAGTTACACGTCAATTGGTGTAATATTCTTCCATTTTCTTTATTAGTGTCCGCTGCAATTCCTAACTGACATCTCTTTTCTATTTGTTTACGTTTACGATATTCCCTACAACGTCACGCATAAACGCGACAGTTTTATTGCAGATTATGCCAATTTTGGACGACAAATAATTATACAATACAAATATGTTAATGCCTATAAGATGAGAGTTAAATAAATAATATGGGAGGTAAAATTAGCTAAGCTAAAGTTAGTTAAGTATCTAGAATCTAGATTATAAGGTGATTTATAACAAACAAAAAACTATTAAGGTAGTGTGAAGACATACCTATATAAATTAGTGACTAATGAGACTAGAAAATTCCTAAACATGTAGAGGCGCACGTCTAATAGACATAATAATAATCCTAGTATAGCATTTATTTATCTATCGTGTTTATCATGTAAACTAGTACGCTTACTAATAAGTTTCCTTTGCTGCTGTCGGTAAAAAGGAATTTATACGTAAGTTACCGTCTTTGGACTGGCTTTTATAGCTTATACACATAAAATACAGCAGCTGATTCCCGGGTAATAGATACCAGCAGGGCTTGCTTCTGATTTATGAAACGTTGTAAATCATTTAAAGTCAGTAGCTGCCCGGGTGGAAGTTTCATTGATTTATTGTCGGTTAAAAATTGAACCTTAAAGTGAATAGCGCTTATAATTTTAATCATAATACCTCATACTCTGGATCTCCTACGCGAAATTTCACAAAACTGAACTACTTTTAAACATCATGTAGGTCGTACGTATAAATATACCTTTCTTGCAGAATTAAACACAAAAGTTATCGAATTGGGAAAACATTATTTTAAGCTAGGCTGCAATCCAACGCAAGGAGGTGAAAGAGAAAGGTCATGGAATTAAATTTCTGTTATTGATTAATGGAAACGTACTGACAAAACAGTTTTGTATAAAAATAAATAAAAGTTAAACAAAAACATTGGTGTGGGTGTGCAAGGGAAGAAAATGTAGGGAAAGGGCGAATATAAAGATATGAGACGAAAAATTAGAAGTGGCTAATTTTCGATATATAGGAAGTCAGATTAGTCAGGATGGAAGGAGTAGTAGAGATGAAAAGATTGTTAAAGGTGAATGTAAGAGGCGCGGCGTTGTATGGGTGCGAAACATGGACGGCTTGGCGGAAAAGAAAACGTTAGAAGCGTTCGAAATGTGATGTTACAGGAGTATGAAGAGAATAAAGGTGGATAAAGAAGGTTAGAAATGAAGTGGTATCAGAAATAATAGAAAAATAGAGGACTCTATGGAAGTAGACGAGATAGGTTGGTAGGACACCTTCTCAGACATATTAGAAGCACACACAGGACTTAAGAGGAGTAGAGTTTGACCTAGATTAGATTACTGCTCACAAATAGTGAAGGATGTCGGATGCTCTACTTTTAGGGAAATACGAAGATTAGCTCAGAATAAGAAAGAGTCGAGGTGCGTGTCCAACCACTCTTAGGACTGGCGACCTTATGATGATGGCATTGATTGCAACCTTGATAAAAAGGTCTTCGAATTAGTGTACATACTAAACATTAGTATCTATGAAAGTTGTACAAGAATACAAGGTACCAAAAGTCACTTAACCTAACCTTACTTTTTCTGTTCCTTACAGAAGAACAGGTTTTACAATTGAGGAATTTCGTTTCGAGTATGATTTTTACATTTTGAATTAGGCCCACAAACGAGTGTCGCAGCATCATTAAAACAATAAATTCGTAGCAAGAGAAACAGGAAAACATAACGTCTGCGGGATGTACGTTGTCATTGACAATAGGAATCAGTGAGAATATACGATGTGATAATATACGAAATCGCTGGCTCGTGAAGGATTTTCATCACGATCCGTTGAAACAGCAATAAAGCACGAAGATAATAATACCAAGTGTGTAACACAGCTCTCGCAATTAAACTGTAATAGCAACCCATCATCCAGGCTTAATTACTCCACAATTCATTTCTTAATAAACAGTTCGCGTTCTCGTTCTCGTTCTCAAACGAACCAGCGAACGGGACGATCGATGAACTGAGGTAAACAGTTATGAGAATGGTAGTATTTAACTATGGTAGATACTCTACGATTTAAAATCGAAGTAATATCATGTGCTTTCATGATCATGAAAATTCAGCATTTAAATTACCCGTAAAGCTAGAATGGCCTCCCGCGTTCCTCTATTTCTTCTAAACCCAAATTGATCTTCCCCAAATAGTTCTTCCGCCCTTTTTTCCAACCTCCTCTGTACAATTCTAGTTAAAATTATTGACGAATGGGAAGTTAAGCTAATTGTGCTAAATGTCTCGCACCTATCCACGCCTCTCTTTTTAGGTATGGTTACCACCACGTTCCGTTTATAATCCATTGGGACTTTCCCTGTCCCGTAAATGTAACTAACTTAAACATACGATCTCTAACCACTTGTCCTGCATCTATCCCATCTACACCTAGCGCGTTATTATTCTTTTTTAAATTTTTAATGCTACATCGAACTCTTCTCTCATTATGGGATAACCGACCTCATCCATCTCCACTCTATCTTCCTTCTCTAATATATCTCCTAACTTATGGGCTGCGTATAGGTTCTCTAATTATTCTTTCAACCTATCTGTCTTTTCCTCATTTTCTATCAAAACGACCCCTGCCTCGTTTCCTATATTATTACTACCGTACCCTACATCTCTAAAATTCCTTTTAATTATATTATAAGCCTCATCGGTTTTACCTACTTCAAACTTTTCCTCTACTTTTTTACATCCTATCAATCCACTGTTCCTTTAGCTGCCCTACACTTCCTAATTATTTCCCACTTTATAGCCTTATATATTTTTTGCCTTTCTTCGTCTGTCCTGTTCTTCAAGTTTCGCCTTTCTTCTATTAATCTTAAAATCTCATTTGTTATCCAGCGTTTCTTACTTTCGTTTTGTTTAAGACCTAGTATATCTGTAGCTGCTGACTTTAGGCACATTTTAATGCAGTTCCATTCTGTCTCTATGTCTCTATCATTCATTTTAAAACTATCGGCTTGTGATGGTTCTCACGGTTTCTTCCACGCGAAAATATAGATGGTTTAACTAAACATTTTAACAGTCTTATTGTGCATTATTACAAAAAGTACCGTATGCCTTACATTTTGTATTTCTTTTGTCTGTTTCAGAACTTCCTGGTTACAGGCAATCCTTGCAAATGATTCTAACTGCAGGACCAATCCGTCAGGTACCAAAATTTACGTTTTTCTTCTACATCATTTAAAGGTTTTTAATTAGGGTACATACCGTACCGTGTGGGTTAACATTTTGTCAGTTAATTGTCAATTCCATTTTTCTCTTTGTTTAAGGGACGTTTTGTGAGAGAAAACAATTTTTCGTGTTAATTTTTTTTGTTTGTAATCGAAATAAATTCGAAAGGGGTCGCGGCTGATTGCATAGTCGTCAATGTCGTCTTCGGCGAAGCAATTTAAAAGTGTCTTGAGGGTTGTTTAGTCGCGTAATTACTTTGTCAGACGTTCTGTTAAAAATAATATTCCCATATCGATCCCAATTTCAATTTAAATGGAATTGGAAACGAGTAATTCGTTATGTTCCTTGTGGAATTCGCAATAGTATGAATAAAAAAAAAATAAAAGCGAAGTCGCAAGAGATATATTACGAACAAGTAGGAATATTATTCAACTGTCACATGATATTTATAGGATTTGATCATATGACTGTTTTCATTGACAGGAAATTCATTTGTTCATTCAAACAGGTGTTGATGTCATAGTAAAATACTTATTTTAAATGTAGTAATGAAAATTCGAATGTTATAACATCGATGATAAGGATTTCGATTGTGTTTAAAAACGTTTAAATGGAAAATAAATACGTATTAGGTAGACCATATGCCCGGGGTAAGTTGACTAATACCAATAAGAGTCAAATCATGAGAAGGAGCAAATAATTAAACATTTTTTTAATATAATTGAGCCTTTTGTTAAAAAATAAACAACTTAAATCAGGTATACAAGCATTTCTTACAATGTTATCGTAAACAGTGGTCAAGTTAGTGAAGAATAAATTAACGTTGCTTTTGTTAAATGATGTAGCTCTCGATAGGCTCGTTGCTTGAGGTGATTGGATTGACAGAGAAGGATGACGTTTAAGAAAAGAGCCCAACCAATCTTCACCAGCTAACAATGCCCTACCTGGCATAAGTATTTGACGATGTCAATAAGATTGAACTATAAAATTGGAGTTGCTTTAGTGAAAGGGAGAGAGCACGAAACTATTTACTAGCGGGCAAACCGGTAAGAGGTCATAAGTAAGCATAGCCTTTAAACATTTATCCTGTCTTTTTTTTGAGAAAAATTTGATACAAATATAAATAAATGCAGATGTAGAAGACGACTGATTTATACAATTATATTATCTCTAGTGTTGTATTGTCACGAAGTGATGCCTTCTTCCCATTTTTCACGCAAATCAAGGGTTGCGAGGTCTCA